CACCACCACCACCACCACCGCTATGAGACTTGCTGCGAATTGGTCATCCTCACGAAGCTCACTGCCACAAACCAGCGTGGCCAATAGATGACAACGAACAGAGCCACAGTAGCTACTTTGTTCCAAAGGGGCAGATCTCTGTCAGCCAGCCTCTCTTCTGCAAAAGCGCTTAGCAAAGTGCAAGTAAATCAGATATTGCAAGGCAAGGAAGGTCTCTTGCGGGGCGGAGTTGGGCCTTGCGGGTGGGGTTAAGGCATCCCGGGCCCTGAACGCAAACCTGGAGACATTGAGCCTCGTTCTCGGTCCGAACCTGGCGCCGCTCCGCATCCTGAAAGACCTTGCAAAACGTTGACTCGGCTTTGAGTATCGTGATATTAACGACTACCGTGCTGAGCACCACATCCCCAGGCCATAGGCGTGATACTTGCAACGCAGGCAACCGGATTGGGAAGCTTCTCCCAAATCCCTGTCGACACGAACTACCAGGCCAACTTCCCTTCGTGTGTCCGCGGGCCTTGACCGCTTGGAAAGACTCCAAGGCTGCTACAGTAATCGCTACACAATGGATAATGGGTAGCTTCCTTGCAGCTCCCCTCAACAAGCTTCTCGGGGCCCACACCGACATACGCAGCAGGTCACCCTCCTTGACAAGGGCCTGGCTGACTTGCAAAGAAATGGGCGACAGCTACATAGCAGTCCAAAAAGCAATGTAACAAATGGTACGAAGCGTGATGATGAAGCCCAGCCTCGCAAGATTAAAAAAAAAAAGGACCGCAAGAAGCTCCGACGGCCAATCACTTCAGAACCCGTACTGTATGATTTTGCAAGTGACAAAACCCCATTCCTCAGTCAGTGAAGCGCTACATCTGCACAACTTCCTGAAACATGGTTTTCAGGCCAAATCCATTTTCGAGGCAGTCCTGTGCTAGCAAATTACTCCGGGATCGTTTCGTTTCCACAATTTGGGCGCCAAAACCTGCACCACGAACCTCCAAGCATTTGAAACCTTGGACAAAACCCTCAAAATCAAGGTCCCGTGTACACAACCTGATGCAACACAGCCTTTCCAACAAGGATCTCAAGAAAGGACCCCAAACCCAATACATACTCTTCGAGAAGGACACCGCTCAGGCCTCAAAGCTCTCCCAAAACTCTGAGAACTTCACCTGACACATGCAACTTAGGGTGTAGGGTTTCTGGGGTTTAGGGTTCAGGGTGAAACCCGATGTCCTAATGTTACACACATCCCTCCCCTGAAGCGAAATCCTCATCCTCAGTCAATGTTCAGCATGATGAGTAACGTAGTGAAGTGATGTACAAAGGTTAGTAATTGGGTAGACTAGCCGCTTTGCTAGGGTTAGCTTTGATGCTTCTAAAAATCATGAAGCTAGCTCCTCCTTTCGTCTGTACAGGCGAAGGCAACCTCTCTCTGAGGATCTTGTCGGCCTTCTCCGGATCAGCTGCCTTGATCTCCGGAAGCTTTGCTCGCCTGCTGGCAGGGCGGGCTTCGTGAAGATTAACTCGGGAGTCTAAAACGTTCAACTTCAACGTAGGTAGCGTTCCACTAGGGTTCTCTCTCGGAGCACGGACTAAACCAGCGGGCGACTGAGATTATCTGACCAAGCTGGAAGTCCCAAAGTGGAGCAGGTGAAGTGCCAAGACGCGCAGATAGAGTCAATGGGCTCTGCATTGAAAGCATCTGGTGCTCGAACTGTCCCATAGGTCGGAACATCAAGGCAATTTCAAGCGTTGCGGCATTCACTCTGATCTAGACTGGCAAGTCCGTACATGTTGGGGTCAGGCGAGAGTTAGAACAACACACTTAAGAAAAACCTGAAAGAGTGAATTGATGGCTGAGGCCAACCCTGCAAGCCTCACACAGGCTTTCCCTCCACAATACTTTTAAGATCCTCTCGATGGACCCTGTCCCACCTCATGAACTCGCCTTCCAACTTCCAGGTTGCGTCGAGTTTCTGCAAGCAGGGCAGGGCTCAACAGAAGCTAAGCCACACATTGATGAAGCAGAGGGATCTCAATCCATTATCTCCTGCCAACCTTGGCAAAGGAAGTTCTCTGAAGTCAGGCCCCGACATGCCCCGGCAGTACCAAGCACCACAAAGAAAAGTATAGCATGGCCATGGCGCGGCATGCATGTGATTCCGTACATGACAGCCTATGTAAGACGGCCACTACAGTTGGAACATGATGTTGAGAGATCCAACTTCCGCACAGTACGTATTACAACAGACCACCAGAGCGTGGAAGTCTCGTTGTACTCATCCTTCAAATGCCTCGACACATCCTTTGACAAATGCCCATGCCTCGATCACCCGCGGCGTCTGTGCCATGGGCATGTGCTCGTGGTCCTTGGTATGTACAAGGTCATCTCGACATTGATGCTGGAAGTTCGAATTCACAGTCCCTGCCGCCTGAGTTTGGAATTCTCTCGCTGCTGCTTCTGGAAGCAACTATGAATCAACAAAGGTATGCATCGATGATTGCATGACCGGACACCCGGTCTGCCTGCAGCGACTGCAGGCACAGAAAATCACTCCTCTCTAAATTCCCCAAGTTTCAAGTCTCCCGGAGGATGCAAGAAAGTGAGCCGCAACTGGACAGCTGCACATGTTGCACTGTTGGCCGTGCAAGGCAGCTGGGCCAGGGACCTCCGAGAGCACCGTCCAGGCATTCTCGAACTCCTCCTGTTTTCGGAGGAGGTTTCGTCGGCCGCGCTCGACCTTCTGACCCCCAGTTAGTCGTATCAGCAAACGTGAGCAACAGAGGATGTTAGAGTTCAAGCCCTTGGACTTCCAAGCGTGGCTTCTCTCAATAACAATGAAGATTCAAGGAAGTACTTGGGAGTCCAGATAGCTTGTACTGACTCGTGTTGCTGCTACCCTACTAACCGCTCCCGGAAGCCAAAGCGCCAGCCTCTGCCAATTCCCGGATCTTGTCGTACCTGAAGGGCTGTTTAGCGACGCTCCAGCCAAAACATTTGGATTCCCCTTGGGCTCATTTGCACTGCAGCTTCTGTCGCTTGTTGGCCTTTCCTGCCAGAAGCTGCACAACCCTCAAATTTCTGCAAAGCTTCATGAGCATTACAGGCCTCAAGCAGCGCGATTGAGAATGCCTCGAACCGTCCCAAGCTGCACCCTATCATCACAATTATCGTCAGAATCAGCAGCACGAGCAGCAGCAGCAGCAGCAGCAGCAGCATTAGCAGCAGCTGTGCCAAACAGAAGGCTTGGCGTCATTGCAAGGAGCACTGAAAGCCATCAAAACCTTTAACAGAGCGATCCGTACGGTTGGGGGCACGTAGCCGTGCGATGGTCGTGGATGTGGCTGGGATGATTCCGCAGAAGGTACTGGGCCAGCCTTGGAAGCAAACGAACAGGGCAGATTGCCTGACAGCCTCACACCCCCACCCCACTCAACAGGGCGAACGCGAGGATCGTCTTAAGAATAGATACCAAAGAGTTCTGCATTCATAGCCCGATGCAAACGTGTTCCGGCCTCAACACATGTCTGATGCCACTTAAGTCTAGAAGATTACCAGGATCGGACATGCCATCATGTTAGGAGACAGAAAGAGCCGCAAGCAGCAAACGATGTCCTTGCTGAACGTGCCAGCACAGGCAGAACACAAACCACTCGGAGCAGGGATTTCGTAATCCAAAAGCCCCGGGCCAAATGAGAGGGTTGAACTTCTGCTTGCTGCTGCCCATGGTGGTGCCAGTGGCGACCTTGTCCACGTGCCTTACCAGATTCTCACGGGATCCCCACGAATCTCTCCAGTAGTAACTCCCTGACATCTGAGAAAGCTGCTTGCTGAGAGCGTCCAGACCTTGCAGCAGCACGGGCATCACCTGCAGCGGATGAAACAAAACATCTGCAAGGCTCTCGACATCAACATGTGACATCATTTATGGAATGTGGCCTTCTGCTCCACTTCTGAGAATCCGACGCCTTTTTCCATGAGGTAGACATCGAAGTCACCCTCTGCCTTTGCAGCAGTGTCGTCTGCAGCTTGGTCCTCTGGTCATCTACAGCCAGCTTGGCTTGAAAGGGCGACCTCTGCCATCGGCAGCAGCATCTGCAAGAAGAAGCTCTCGTCTATCTTCAAGTCTCGAAACACCTCTCAGTCACCCCTTGGACAGCAAATTCTCGTATCGATAACAGGCGAAGGAAAAACCTGACTAAACCGCAAGCCAAATCCGCTTCATTTGCCTTTGCAACTCTCCTGCCGGTCTGCTTCATCTCAAGAATCGGCACCGCTACAAAATACCAAACTGATGGCTTTACCTCACAGCTCTCACATGGGAAGCCTCCAAACCAAAGGTGACTCTTGTACTCCCAATATACTATCCGGAAAGAACCTTACATAGTGGAAAGTGCATGAAACAACTCCGTCCCGTGCAAATAAGATGAGAGACAACTGGAGCAAGGTTGAGGCTCCCTGACAATTCAGAATTGGCCCTTGCCAAGCTGCAAGCCTCCACATTGTAGCATTATATAGTTTGTGCGCACCCAGAAGCATGAACACCACATGACCCCTCAATTCTGTTGAGACTTCAAACCCCTTGTGCGTTAATAATTGGCGCCTGCTGCTGGGTGCGAGACACCGTGTGGGACATCTCTCCGGCTCCTTTTGCCTAGGCGATCTAAGCACATTTTTCTCAGCTTTGCCTGTCTGATACAAAATCCATTCTTTTGAATGCCATCACTTTCACGCCACAATTTCCATTCTCCAGCATGGCAGGCGGTATTGCATTGCGATGTTCAAACCGTTTTGCAAACACTTCCGTGGCCACGGCAGTTCCAGCACAGACAAGTATCAGAATCAGGGTGGCTACTGGGCTATCAGCAAAATCCCAAAGCAGAAACATGTTGGATCCTTTGTTTTCGGGTTACCCCCTTCGTCTTGCATGGTTCTGTGCACGTTTGGACCTTTGTTTCCAAATCTTGTTGGCGTACCCATTCGTATTCAAGGTTTTAAAGCTGGATATACCTTCTTCCCCAAAAAGGACAAGGCATGTCTTAGATCGAGCACTTTGCTCACGTTTTGGATGATTAACACTGTGAGCATGTTCGGAACCCAGGGCACGCAAGGCTATAGTGCAGAGCTCGCTCATGGCTCAGACGTTTCCGCTTTATCAGTCAGCAGGAGGCCGCTGTTTGATCAAAATTGTCCCGCAACGCAAAGTAAAGTTCCACCAAGTATCTTTAGGCAGGTGCTTTGAGCATGTGATGCTGTGATCTGTTTTTGCAGCAGGATTCTCGGGGGGAAGGCCCATTTGACACGCTTCGAGCTTGTAACGCTGGGTGTACAGCTAGCTATGGACACACACATGAAATGGCTCGGTGCTACAGCCGTCATGTCTTACTGATGCAAATCTCTGCCAGAGTTGCAGGCCTCCTGCAACTCTTCTGGCAGAGAGTTGCAGGAGGACCTTCTTTTGCGCGTGGACGGGAGCAACTTTCAACGACGTCCATGGCACAGATTTCGCCACTTCTGTCTATAGACTGTTCTATACTCACTCTTCATTTTGTTGCTGGAGTTCTCGCTACTCTCACCAGAATAAGGGGCTTGGACATGTCACAGCCCCGAAAACAAACCAAATCGTTGTGTCGTGGTCTCCATCTTCCCTCGTACTATATGGAATGGAAACAGGATCCCGGGTCCACAACTTGCAACCGCCCTGCAAGGGGTAAGAAGGACAAGGTTAGGTTCCCGCCGCATCTAAAGACCACAATTTGGAGACGCCAGACTAATCGACTAATCCGCATATCCATACACTCCAAACGCTAGCACATGATCCTCCGAAATCCCCTGCACAAGCCCCGTCTCCCTACAATACTTGAACTTCTGCCACGGTACCCAGCAGCGAGCTGGACTTCAGCTCAGCGGCAGAAACCAAGGCCGGATAAAGCTGGACCCTGCAACTGACTGCAGACGAGTTCTCCTAAGTGTACAGTTTGACACATGTCTTTTGACTTCTCCACGTTTCCAGATGTCTGTGCTATGGCAGGTTTGCCTAGCAACTGCGTGAAGGTTACAATTGCTATGGGCTCTTCGAAATCTGCGTAAAGGTTTTGATAAGATTCGTGATCTCGAGCTGGGACACCACGCTGAGCCATCGGGTTGCAAGGCAATGCACAGGGAAAAGCAGGAGGCAGGACACTTCTACCCAAAAGAACTCTACGGCCCTTGCATAGCCCCATACCCTATAACCCTAGACAGTTTCAATAGTTGCCGTTAAAACAAAAACCATTATTGCAAATACTTGAGACTAGTACAATAAGTATAACGAACAATTGAACTTGCTGCTGGCTACAACTCTGACTTCTCTTTTTACGACCAATTCTTCCGACTAGCACCATCGTTACAACTGTTACTTGGAGTGGGGCTTCTACAAATGTCACAAGAAATAAAGCGCCAGGATCGGTTTTCCCCGCACCTTGCACGTCCGATCTACACTGTGGATATGAGCCGCACGCAGCTTTACGGACTCCACATGTCCCCTCCTTCCTCTAATCATAAGATGATCTTTTGAGGGTTGACCTATGGCAGGACTTGGGGGTGAATTCCTTCCGCAGGTGAGACTCCTGCCATGTCTGCGGGACCTGCAGCTTGTCTCTGCGCTCGGCGCTTTGCGCTCAGGGCGAGACAAGGAGCAGAATTTTGGGGTGAGACGCTTGCTTCAACGGCGGGGCATGACAAATTGTTTGCTCTGCGACTGCCCTGACCTACAGATCTGTGGTGCTGGACTCATTTGCCGCAAGGATTCGGGTAGTATCTAATATTTAAAATTGAGTTAGGACTATACTCAAATTGAAGATGTAAAGCTTGCTCGTCAGGCACGATTTGCTGTGACCTCGGACAGTAAGGGAATCTCTCCGGTTCTCAAATGGGAATGTCTGCACAATGTATGGATGCCATGCTTGGGACTCTACAAGTACCCAATATCACCAAGCGACTACGTTGGAGGCCAAAGGGATGACTATATACATTTTGAAGACCTTTATGCTAGCTTGTGTAGACGAAGGTCTCCTTAAGAATCCTTCGTATTGTTGTATGGACTCCCAAATCTCGAAACAATGCGGATTTTGAGAAGAAACCCATTCGCAATCTCTGCTGCACGGTTCCGATCCCTCGCTATTAGGGCTGCGACGGTGGTATAGATGTGCCCACCCTTCTTTCGGAAGAGGTTGATCTCTGCCTGTCAGAGGCTTCGTAAACCCAACGATGCACCTTGCAAATGAGATATTGGCGCGCGGACCGCCTTCAAGCAAAGGTGTGCTGTTCAGGTGATTTAGCTTAACATTGTGAGGCTCGCCCATCCCACCAACAATCTGTGCATGCGCATCAATGGTATCAGCTGCCCATACAAAGCGGATCGGCCTGTAAGGTTGCAATCTCTTTGGTCTGAAGCGCCAGAAGATCTTTGCATCTCTCACGCTCCTGAGCAGTCAGCTCTCGATCCTACGTGCTTAGGAACATGAGCGATCTCTGGTTTTCAAAAGGAATTAGAACAGCAAAACCTCTGAGCCCTGCGCCATCCGCCGAAGTTCATTCAACGGCTCGTTGTCGTTCACCGTAACCTTATGTGTGATAGTCCATCTTAAGGTGAACTCATGAAAATTGACTCTAGTATAGGATGAAGGGACCTGTTCGAGCAGGCAGCAGCCACGAGTCTCACTCAAAAACATGAAATACGCAGCACAGGCATGAATCCCACAAAGAAATCCATTGGAGAAATTATCTTAGGTATTGGGTATTGTCCGCCTGAACTCAAACGAGTTCCGACACTGCCAACACAGCGATACCCAAGCCATTCCACACACCTTGAAGGGGCCGCGGCATTGGCTATTCTGGCATTCAGCGCTGCATCCAGCTGCATTTGCGAGTAGCCTCAGCTGGACGGACTTGCACACAGAGTGTTCTCTTAGCCCCGGGGCTCGCAGCCAAACGGGAGTGCTTGTTCGAGCCCTGAGCCTATCAAGCCACTTGTAACTTGGCAATGTCAGGGCATCCTCATGAATGAAATTAGGCATGTGCAGGTAGAAGCCTACCGCATAATACCATCTCCATTCATGTCGCAAGGCATCTTTAAGGTGCTGGCCCATGCTGACGATCTGCTCCATGAGCGACGTATTGTCGCAGGTGATCTTCGTCAGCTCCTTCTTCTGCTTCTCCATCCTGTTCACGAAATTACCGAATTGTGAGACATTCTACAGACTTGTAAGATATTCGGACAGCCTCCTCCTTACATGATGGTGGTATCTCACTATGGAGTACATTGACGGCATCTGACTTGGCAGTCCCTCAAAGAACACCCATGAGTCTTGTTTACCTATGATTGGTGATGCTTACTCCTCGACATGCTTTGACTGCTTGGCATAAAGCAGACCAAATCTGGAAAACCTGACAAGAAAACAGCAAAAAGGAGTTCCTCCTCCAATGTATGCTGGTAAGGTATGAACAGATGGAAATGGGGCCGCAGTGATGGAAAGTGCGCATCCCTCCTAGTCCTGCCGTCTTAAATTCAATCGCCTACCCGCAGCCTTTCAATAAAAACATGATTTACCCAGTACTTTCTGTACAACTGCCACATCATGCACATAAACCCTCCCCCAAGAGCACAGCCGCCTTTCCCAGATCTTCCTTCAAACACCATACCTCCCCAAATGAGCTGGCTACATGCTGCCGGCAAATACATACTGTTGGGAGATCTAGCAAAAGCATCAAAAAGACTTAACTCTTTGGTCATCCAGAACCCCATGAAAAACAGACCTCTTCTCCCAGTCAGCGATGCGCCGCCGGTGCTCTGCTTCGGCCTGCAGGACCTTCTCCTGCAGCTCCTCGAAATAAAGTTTTCTGTTTAGGGTGTACGGTTGTGTGGTGGGTGCACAAGGTTTGGAGTATAAGAGTCTACGCAGGGTCTGGCTGCTAGGATTCCTAGGAGTTTTTGGAATAGTTGCAGGGGAATTCACAAAGTAACTTCACCAAAGCAACCTCAACATCAACGAACGGGATGATACTACATCCTGCCATGCACAGATTGCATGAGGCAATCCGGACATCCATAGGGAATGGCGTGTAAGACTTATCTGCGGATGATTGGTTGCATCGTTCAGCGCAGTGAATTTTAAAGGGTGAGAATGCGCAGTACGTCCTTGCTGTCCTTGCTGCTGGATGCTAAGGTTCAGTGCCGGATACACGTCCACTTTGGCAAGGCGAGGCTGGAGGTTAAGTTGAAGAAGCTAGGTTTTTGATGATATGGCGTTGTCGGAGGACTCACGCCATGCCAACTATTGTTGCCATTTGTTGTCAAGAGATGCCTGCAAGATCAGGGCTGGATGCCCATTCAGAAACAAGGGCTTCACGGCTGTCCTGAACATACTTGTTCGGAGCACTCCGCTCAATCAGATCCAGGTCGACGATCTGCCCAAATTTGAGCATCTGGATGTCCTGATGCAACTACATAGAACAGTAACGAACTTAACGCAACAAAATCAGCATAGCTGGGACCTTTGAGTGGCGGAAGCCTTCAACCCAAAGGCATGCCGGGTTGAGGATTACAAGGCTCTCTTCTTCGGGCATATGAACTTGAACCGCTTCGGTGCTCCTGGAACTTCGCGTGGAGATCCTGGCGCATGTCAGGCATGGCAAGCATGGCAGGGCCTGGAAGTGTACTCATCGAAAACCCTTCACAAACCTTGTCAGTCTTTCATTCCTATCAAGGATCTTCAAGGTGACCTTTTGGGACTCCGTTTTGACCGCATCCGTCTGTTCTTTTTGCCTTGTTAAGCCGAAGGAAGTTGCAGGACTCTGCAACACAAGAACACCGCTGAAGCAAAATGCACTTGCTGCAAGGGCTCTAAGGGCTCTTGACGAGAAAAGACTTGTCGCGCTTGTCTGGAAATACCACATCAGCAGCCATGGTTTTCAGCAAGCACTAATTACCTTGCCAAGCTCTTTGGCTTAGCGTTCAATGCTCAACACTTAAGGCTCCAAGAACCGCAAAGCCCTTCTGTCCTCGATGTGCTGCAAGGCCACGCTCTTCTCCTTCTTGCGCACGCGGAAGTCGCGCTGAAGCCTGGGACTGAAGTGCAGCACCTGCTGATTCGACACTAGCATCGGTTGCAAACGGAATCGCTCTGGCTTCCAAAGACTGACCTGGACTGCAGCGCCGGCAGCCCGAGGCTTCGACTGCTTGTGCCTTGCCTTGACCTGGTAGACACGGCCGTGCACATGGGTGATTGTCTAAGACCGCATCCCAGCCACACTGAATAGGGGCTGCAAATTTGGTGCACACTGTCTGAACCTGATCTTCCTGCAAGCATGATACATGGGCTTAGGCAACTTCGCCCCGCTCATCCCATCATTGCAAACCCCAAGCCCGACTTAATCCCTGAAACTCACAGGGTAATCAAATGAACCTCTTCCAACACTGCAACTTGTTCTATGGCAATCTGATAATTGTATACAACTTTGGTAGCTCCCTCAGGTCTTTGCTTCCCTTTGGGGACCCCATTCCTGGAGACTTTGGGCCTCCTTAATCTCCTGATGCAGCTCGGTGATGCGAGTCATCAGGCGGTCCAGGCCCTGACAAATTGGTATCGCAACACGTAGTACATTTGTTGTAGTAGAAGTACAGGTCCATAGAAGCAGAAGTAACAGTACTAGTAGCAGTCGTAGCAGCAGCAGCAGCACTTGTCGTCGTTGCTGTAGAAGTAGTACGTAGACATGGTATCAGTAGTAGCGTAGCGTAGTAGCAGCAGCAGCAGCAGCAGCAGCAGCAGCAGCAGCACCACCACCACCACCACCACCACCACCACCACCAGCACCAGCACCAGCACGAGCAGCGGGATTGGGAGGACTGGTTTGGGGTTTAGGGTGCAGCAGTTGCTGCACTGCACAAGTATCCGCAACGTTCTTGTGTTTTCATCATTTTGCTGTGAGCGCTTCTTGCAAGAGTTGACTTAGTAAACCTTAGTAGTGGTTCTCGCAGTGGCGGTGAAGTCGCTGTTGGAAGGGTGGGAATGGGATGGGGGACGGAGCGAAAAACAGGGGGGCAAGATGTAGCACAAACAATTAATCATCAGTTTCATCGGGCTGGTGGGCCAGTAGAGCTCCAGCTATGCAAGCTCGTCCAAGCATAGATTGCCCGAAGGTTGCAGCCGGTACATACCTTGCCACTTAGATGGAATGATTGACACAGAGAACTCCTCACCTTCTTCCAGAAAGTAGTATCACCCGAAAGTCTTTCATCCAAACCCAACTGCCCTCCCTCCTCCCCCCTTACGGCTTCAGCGGCCTCATTGGTGAAAATGACCTGCTGACCCAACTCAGAAGGGAGGCGCTCCTGCCTTGGAACGACACGGCTCTAGGAAACTTCAAATCACTGTGTGGGTCCAGCATGGGTTCACTTTCTTGCGACCCGGTGCAGAGAGGTACGGTTGCTGCGTTTGAGAAGGAGGTTTGGGATCCAACAAGGCAGGAGGCATCTGAGGGTAAGTATCTAGTCTAAGTAACCTGATTCCGAAACGATCAGATCTCCCGTGCTCTGAGAATTCATGCACACAAATTCAAAATGCTCTATACATAGATGTGGATCACTTGGGCATAAGCTCATCCGGTTGATCCGCAGAAGACAGGCACTGAACCTGGCAATTGCTAGACACTGCAGAAGCTGGATACGGCACTCATGCCAGGACCAGCGTGCATCCTCCTACAGATTATCACGGTCACAACCACAGCCTGCGACAAGCGCAGCGCGAAAACGATGGGTACCTGAGGACAACATGACGCATGCTCTTCTGCATTTTGCTTTGAGGGCGCCAGCAAGTGCCCTTGGCAAGAAGATGCAATGCTAAGCGATGCAACATCGCTGGATCGCATGAGCTACCAGCTGAAATTCTGAAACATCAGTCCATTCCCACCAAACTTTAGCTGGAGCAACCTGTGACAGTGACTGAAAAAATTGGACAAGTACTCCAGCTAGCGGGGCCAACACCAGCCCTCAATCTTGAAAAACTCAACGCCAGATCCCGTGCGACTGGCTATGCCTGGTTGAGCTTCCGCTGCTTGTCTGTCTGAAACTGCTGGATCTCTGCATCAGTCCTCCTCTGCTCCTGGAAAGATCCGCGACTGGCCACGGATGCATGTCGAAGCTTGGGCCAGTTGAGATCTTGGAAGCCACTCTTGCTGTTCTGGGACCCCATCATTACACATGGCTATTCGACACAGCAGAACTTGGCTCGTCAACCTGGGAAGCATTGACTGCTGCAATCTTCCAAGCTAGCAGGCGTCAATAAGACTTGTACACCAATTACATCTGTGGCACCCCAAAGGACAAAGCCAACCCTGGGGCAGCTAAAAAATCCAAATCTTTGTGCACATGCAAGAATGCCTTGTCGATCCGCTGCTCATCTTCACCCAGTCGCTTGTGGGTGTTCTTGAGCCCCTGATTGGGAACGTGACTTCTGTCCAGGGTCTGGAGTATTCCGATTAAGGACAAGCGGGTTTCAGGCTTAGGCCTTTGAGGGCTCCAAGCTCAGGGAAGAAGACCCATGAAAGGTGCTAGGGCAGATATGATGCCTCGAATGAGCATCTTTGAAACTTCAAGGCAGCCATGTTGAGCTGATCATCGCTATTGCCATTGTCTACTGCAGTTGAAGCTCATCTCTGTAAGGTTTCTCCTCGGTCTGCACTACCATGATTCACCTTGATGTGGTTACAGTGATTTCTCCTCTAAGCACTGCTTTCGGATTTCTTCGCAAGCCGCTGTCAGAAGATGAGAGGGCATCTTCGAATTTCACGCTAGTAACTTAGCATCACGACTGGAAGCACAAGGAAGTCCGTTCAATCGAGCATGTCTGATGAAATGAAAGGGTAGGCTGGCAAACCCATCAAGACGAGTGATGCAGCGCCGCCGGAGCCATGGGGAGAGCGCCCGCTGGGCCTCCACAGCTTTCTGGATCTCCTGAAGAGCGTCTTCCATCTCGAGCCCTTGGTGGTCCAGAGTCCAGACAGCAATGCCAGCATTTGAACCAGTCTAACAGAGATCTAAGAGCTATGACGTGTTTAGCTCAAAGGCTCGGATTTGGACTTTCGTGTGGGGAGGGATGGAGTCCCGGCAACTGCATGATCAGAAGGCGATACGGTAGTCCCAACTTGCAACCTCTACGTAGCCTCCTCGGGTTCAACCCGATTATGCGCTGTTTCTTCTCATCCTCGGCTCGTGTTACAAGATGCAGAGCAGCCACAACTGACTGTGCTCAACTGAATCATAAGCCTCAGACCTCCAGTATCTTTACCATGATCTACAGCATTACGAAGCTTCCTGCAGAAGTTCCTCTTGCTAAGTAGTCTTAGTATGTCAAGAAGATTGGCCCGGCATATGTGGCACACGAAAATGGATGTGTCTCAAAACTGCTTTGGTGCACTTCCGAAAAAAATATGGACCCTAACCTCGATATTGGATTCAGGCGCGGATATGCGCACAGTCAAGCTCAAACTATCTGCACAACGAAGCCTACGGTGCCCTCGGTACCACACCCTGCTGCCCTACACCAAAAAGGAATGCGAGAGCCGGGCGCTTGTCTCGAAGGTCTATGACACTCTCGTAGATCTGATGGTCACATCCCTGCAAATCCGTCCAACTGGGCAAAGCAACTTTTGTTGCTCTACTCGACCTTCCCGCGTGCCTGTGGCGGCCCGACGTCATCATCCTCCATGTCTTCGTCCTCGTCGCTTTCAATGTCGCTTCCCTGCAAGGTACATTTTCAACCGAGAAGGAACCTCTGGTCAAAGGCATCACTTGCTGCCTCGTCATCCTCATCTTCCTCATCCTCATCCATCTCTTCTTCCTCCCCCATGCCTTTCTTCCGCTTGGACCTTTTCACCTGGACTGCAAACGAGGTCTGCAGCAATGCACACAAACCTTGTGCAGTTCCGTGTAGCCTTCTTCTTGTAGACCTTCAAGAGGGCGCTCAGGAAGGGCGAGTTTTCACCCACCAGATCGGTGAATTCTGCCTGCGGACAGATTCAGACGGTAGGCTCTGAAGCAAATGAACGCGAAGACGTGCAATTCAGCCCTCACATGGATATCAGGCGTGTACACAAAACTCTCCAAAAGACAAGCAAGAAAAAACAAGTGTAGGCACAAAGTTCTTTGCCGATGACCTGGAGGTTCTGCTCCTGGGTGTGCCACTCCTCAATCTCAGCCTGTCAACGGCTGGCTGAAATATGCTGAACGCATCTAAAGCTCATCAAGCTCGGCCGCTGTGGTCACATGTATTGAATTCTCAGCCTGTCCCATACCGCACGTGGTCTTGATTGAATTCAATTTGGGGTAGCAGCCCGAGCAACCCTGCACCTGCCCAGAGCAAATATTTCACACTTGAGTAGGACGCCCCCAAGTCTGAATCAGACTCCTGGCACAACGCTGAAGTTGACATACTGCAGTCATCTAGACTGCAACTCAGGTTTACATTATCTTCAAATTTGAACTGCCAGGTGCATGTTTCTCCGTGCATGCCCAAACAAAAAACACCCGTGACCGATGCTCGGCAAAGCATCTGGATGCAGCCTTCTTCTCGCTTAGTTGGTCTTGGCACTCCTTGATCTGGTGCATGATGCTCGTCTTATCTTGCCGGCACCTGCATGCTGTTGCATCAAGCAGCCCATCACCGAACCAGTTCTGACACAAGCCGATGTAAAAAAAAAAACGTGGCACATGACAGTCATGTCAATGATGCACTCAACTTTGGTAATGGCGCGCATGGCAAGAGGCGCCGATTTCGTGGCTTGTCGTGTTCGAAACCGTTTCTGAGATACCGGCTTTGTCGCCTTCTTCAAGAGTGCCTCAGCAGCCAGGGGCGCCCGATTGCCAACCAGTCCGTGAAACAGCTCAAAACAAAAAAGAATGTGACACACACCAGTTGAAAACGGACCTGGCTCTGCCAAGTGCGATGTTGCAAAAACCTGTCCGAAGTTATGCAGCCTAATGCATGGCCCATGCTCGACGGAAGCGTTTTAACTACCGCCCCATCACCCAGGATGAGGTCAATCCACTGGCGTCAACCTCCATAAGTTGCCCATGCTGACTCCCGTCATTTTCTACCGCTAGTGGTGGGGCATCCCGTCACTTCACTTGACGACCTCCTGTACTGCTGTTGCTGCCGCTGCTGCTGCCACTTCTAGTGCTACTGCTCGTGCTACTGCTACCGGGGCGCTGGGTTCGACCAACAATAATTTGCCAAATCGGCCACTCTGCTGCCTTCATAAAATCATAAATATTTTTTTCCTAGCCTGCTTGCGCAACATTTACAACGTTGTCTGGCTGCAGGGCTTTCATTTTCGTGCATGTATTGCGGCAAACTGCCCAAGCGCCGCTTGAAATTTGACGCCGGCGGAGTCGCGCTGTTTTTTAACAAAGGCACGGATGCTCGTCGTGCACGGATGCTCGTCGTGCGTTCTCCCTCATTGTGCCAAAGTACCCCAAAGCCGACACAATGAAACGAGGGGTGGCTTAGTAAAGACTATTTGTCGAGGCAAGTTTTTTTTGGATAACGCAGACTGATGATTACCAAGCCCCCTCCTTTTAAGGGCCTAAAAATGGGGATGCTTATTATCAGCCCCGTTATGGGGAGGGGGCTTGTTAATTGGGGGTCTGGGTTACTCCAGCTCGCGTGCTTGCCCCCAAAAACAGTCCTCCACTTCTAAGTAACTCACCCAACGTATCTAAGTAACTCACTCAACGCATCCAAAGCTCGCCAACGACACCGCAAAAATTATTAATTCTGACACCTCATGCGTGGTTTCTCTTCCGGCCCACCCCGTCTGTCTAAATGCCCTCATTGCTCCAAAACTGAGTTAGGGTCGCCCCACTTGTCCCCAGCGCCCCCATTAATCCAAACGGCGGAAAAGAATATTTTGCGGCGGCAGACATGTATGAACCAAAATGCTGACCACCACTTAAACGGCCAATGCTTGGTCAATGTCTATCATTGGTTAAATCCACGACCATGACTTTCCAAATCTGCTTGGGCGAAAACCTTCGCAACAACACTCGCCTACCCCGCGATGTCCTACTGGCGCTACTCGAATCTTGCAAAGCACGATTTGCCTATGTTTGCTGAAGGTTTGTAACATGTGCAAAAAGTGTCGCAAGCAAGCAAGCAAGCTGACTGCAGCTCGGGCGCCTCATCCTTCTCTTCGAGGTCATTCAAAGTCAGGAGCTCCTTCCAGAACCCACGCAACTGACTTCGGAACTGCTGCTGCACAGCTCAGCTTCAATGCACAATCACTCGGCCAGCCCTTTTGCGCGCTTGCTTCGAATCTTGCCTGTGGAGCCACATCTGCATTGTCGATCATAACTTGCTGTCCCGCGTTGGCCAGCACCGCTATGAAGCAGCCACTCCAGGGAAAGGCGCCACGTCAGCTGCAGAGTCTTCTACTTCGTCTTGGATACAGGACAGTCAGTGCAAGAAATCCTGGCATGTACAAGGCCCATGGCTTCATGCCTTGACGCAATATCCGGGTCAACATCTTGTCACGGAGCCGCGCAATGCCTAGCCAAAGACAACAACGAGTTGAAGCCATCGACGGCCCCTGCGTCGCCACATTGGATCCGATAACCATTAGACGACTCAAAGCAAGGAGTGCTGCCACTGCCGGATTGCTCGAAAAGCCGCTGTCTCAAGCAAATTCCAGTACGCGACGCCCACATGGAGAGAACAATGTTGCCTTCTCGGTCCTTGAACTCCAAAGCTTGCGGCGTCTGACTGGTGCAGGTGCAATGGCTTGCACGAGCCATTCCATCATGGCAGCATCGAGCTGTCCGACGCAGCATTGTCTGTGCTCGCGGAGCACGTCCATCATGCTGGAGATCTTGCACGCTTGCAAGTCCAGGGCATCGGGCAGAGGTATGTCCAGCGTTGGCATTCGGTAAAAGAAGATGCCAGTTGGAGCCCTCAGACCGATGACAATACGAAGAGTGCGCTTGCTGTTGAGCTGCACATAAACAAGGTCGATGCTCTCACTGCCTGGTGGGACCACTGCTTGAACGCTGCCCGGATAAATGACAACTCCTTCATGCAGGATTTCTACCAGCTGCAGCTCATAACCAGAGAAGATGTCCCTGACAGCGTGGGACCAAGGTCTTCCCACTTGCACCTCGGCTTCCCTCAGCGTCTCGCCAGATATGGAGTATACAAAGCAACGGCGCAGCGAGCCCATGGATGCGATTGCTAATTTGGAGGATGTGAAATGTCAAGCGAATTGCATGTCTCATCAGTCGCTACATAAAATCACACTGCGTTGCTGGGAGTGTGGCTGATGTCTGCCTGCACCTGTTTTGAACCAGACCACTTCGAGCCAACTTCAAACTACGCAAGCACCACAAACCTACCAGGCGAGCAGTTCGTATCAGTTTGTGGCCACTTCAAGACACATCTCCTCGTAGAGCACCAGGAGCTTCATGTCAGCATTCTTGAGGTCACTCTCCAGCTTGGCCTTCTCTTTCTCGATGGAAGCCACAGCCATGTTGAATGTGTCGATGACCTGACGACCAGGAGACAAATCACAGCCGGCCAACAAACTCAAGCATGTATGGCAAAATTATGTGGCACCGACACTCAATTATCTCCCGGTGGGTCCACCCAGAATGTATGATCAGGTCCAGGTAACCGCTCACATGATATGACGTGACAACAATGCGCATGGCCTACTGCTAAGTGGCTCAAAACACGGGAATGACAACACAGGCGCCAGGGTAAGGATGTTCGCAGTATCAGTCTGAGCTACATAACCTCGACTACCAGGAAGTCCGATCCCTCAAGCCAAGCAACAAATGTCTACTTCTCAAACCTTGGTCCCCCGTGTAACACGTCCCATGATACTGCAAGCAACAAGGGACCAAGTATGTGGGCGATTCTCACCGCCCTCACCACAGGAAGGCCTCCAAGACCCTTGAAACGTGTGGGGATTCTGCAGGGATTCTGGGAGGCCCCATTGAGGATTTCACATGGGTGATTTTGAGTCTTTGAGAACTCCCATGTAGGGCCTGCCGTACATGCTCCTCAAGCTGGCCCTTGTCATGACGGAGCCGTGCTTGCGACTCCGTGGCCACCGCCTCCGCACCCGCGAGAGCCAGGATGATAACAAGAAGTAGCAGAAGTATCATGATACTCAACCTATTGTACAGCCTCCACTTGATACTGGCAGTGCCTGTTATGGGGGTACAGGGTTTGAGTTCAGGGTGCTTGGGTTTAGGCCTTCGGATTAGGTGGTTTTGATTCCCTAGAAGCTAGCTCTGCCAACGAGGCAACACAGAGACAGGTCTAATTACCTTGATTCTGGGCATTACGCGACGACTTCCCCGCTTTCTCAGCACAATTGGAACAGCTTATCCTTGTGGCACAATTGGCACTAGTAGACTCCATTGATGGTGATGGTTGCAGTGTACAGCACGGAAGTAGCCCAAGTTGTGATAAAGATGGTGGCGATGATTGTGAGCAAAATCCGCGCGGCAGCGCTTGCAGTCTAAGAAGTCCTGACGGCTGAGGATTTTGACTGCTCTCCGCACGTTTCCGCTAGCCTTTTTAAGGCTGATGCACTACACTACAAGCGGAGTTGCCAAGCATGTATGTGCCGCTGTTCGTGACCGCGCGTAAGGAACCCACATGTCCAGCAAATACCTTTTACAGCCTTGTCGAAAATCACCAGTCTGTCTCTACCATACCTCCTCTCAACATAGGTATTTTTGAGATTTTCGATTGTTCAGCTGTCTAATCTCATAATGCTAGAGACCAGAAGATTGCTGGAGCTACGCTTGTCCTAGTTCCCACTCCCGAAACTGACCAGCTACACACTCAGGGACCAAGCAGTCCATGTAGACTTTCACAGTATGTAGGAAACGTTGTCAAAAGGAGGGCACCGAAACATGTGCAGCAGATGCCAGTCCATCATGCAGCTTCCAGTTCGTGCATCTCCAAGACAGAAGGCGGGTTACAGATCCGGTCCAACAATCGGGCAGCCAGCTGCTCACAATCCAGCAACTTGGCACCACTCATGCCGACCGCTCCCAGAACCTGATCAATGTCCGATTCCGAGAGATCTTGCTCTTGGGACACAAACTCCAAAAGACGGTCCTTACTGATTTTCGCACGATTGTTTGCAAGCTTTCTCAAAGCCTGCTGCACGGAGACCAAGCTGGCATTGTCACGCTCTTGGTTTGCTTCCAGCAGATCCATAAGCATCCGCAAGTTCCATTTTGTTCTTTCAGCCGTCACCCCCTGCTTTGCACTCGTTTTCAACTGATTCATGAGCATCACATCGAGCTCCCCATCCGGTATGCACCACCCAGCACAACGCAGGAAATCCCGTGCCTGCTTTTTGCCAAGCACTCCTTCTTTCTTGGCATCCAACATCTCAAAGGCCACCTTCAGGTCGCTGGGTCCGGTAAGACACATCGTCCCATCAATGCCCTGTGGTGGCTTGGCACCTTTCAGTTGATCTGCTTTCCTGCTGGCCTGATATCCTTTAGATGTCAGTTTGGAGGAAGCCCCGCCGCTGGAGGCCATGGCTCCTGGAATGTTACTGTTACAATGAGCTTCCTTCTTCCATGGAGAGTGGAACACTGGATGGAACAAGCATGGATTGTTGAGTGTCACTGCCGGCGTGCAGGCGTGCAGCTGGGCACATGATGCTCCTCGCCAAGCAGTATCTTAGTCTCTGCCGGGGGATGTAGGCTTACGGTAGCAGGTTGGGGGGTTGTTGCTGCAAAGCCTGCGGCGGAAGATCTTGACCAAAAAGCACTCTCTTGCCCTTGCAGGATTGTAGCGCTGAGCCCGTTCGTTCTGCACCCTTCTCGCCGATCGCCGGGCCATGAAAATCACGATTCAATCTGCAGAAGCATGGCAGTGCATACTAGAGCCCTGCATGTAGCCTTTTGACCCAGGCGAGACTTGACACCTTACCATAATGCGTGTACATGCATTAGATGCAGTCATAGCATGATACATGATAGTCTTGCTTCATAGTCTATTAGTCTGTGTATACATATACACACTTTGTTATACAGCCTGGGAAGCAAGGGACATCTGCGCGCCTCGGACAAGACGTCGCGCTTGCCGGACTTAGTTATGCAGCGATGCTTTAGCCCCACTACTTTCCAGGATGCAGCAAGTTTTGAGGTTACGGGGCTGTTCTGTTGCCCTAGACGTTCTCCTCGAATACTGAAAACTTCTCCGAATCCAACTGACTTCGCAGACCTCCACTCAGCAGTCCCGGTCAAGCCCGCGTACTTCACCGGATCCTACCTTATACTAATCCTTCAAGTCGGCGGTATTTTTCAGGGGCCCGCTCATATACACGAAAAAGCAATTCCTCAACATGGGGCCCCCCAAAAGGGACGGCTTGCTTTTGGGAAACTCTCACATGCTATCAGCTGCTGGCCTCGAGGAGCGCTGCGCGCCTTAGCTGCCAACTCTTCCAGACGGTGCAACTGGTTCAGTTGAGGCGAGGCCCACAAGCCATGCACTGTGGCGTGGATCATGGAACCTTTAGGGCCTCCTCCTGCCAAGGATTAGACTCAACCTCGTTTCTTGAGACAGGAGAAAGGAGAGGACTCTATCCGCAACGCATGGAGACGTCGAGGCTCCTCAACTTGTGCCGCTTTCTCTCAAGAACTTTTAGCAACGTTTGCGACGCCTGCCAGCATCACAAACATCTGTAGATTCCTCAAGGTCACACTCTCGTTCTGTGATGTTGATGCCCCAGATGTTCATACATCTTTGGGTGTGAAGGTTGTTCATTGCGCATGAGAGCCATGAGATCTTTTAGGCAGAACGCATAACCACCAGGAAGTACCTCGACATTCCTCCAGGCCCGCCTACTTCGTACTACCGCCTTGGGCTAATACCTCTGCCTCCCCCTACATAACTCAACCCCTACCTAGTCACTGACCACCTGATCCAGCTACATCTACATGTTGGGCATTTCCAAACTGTTCCGCGTCTACATACCAGAACATTATAATCCTTCCAAATCTAAAGATATATTATATATATATACATATTACACATATATATATAATTATATATATACTCTTTTTTGGAAGCCCTCAGCCCCGAAACCCCCAAACCTAAACCGAACACCTTACATGCGCGCATATGACTCCTACAGGAAGACCTCATACAAGTGCCTCCTGCTGGGGCACAAACAAAGTCAGGCGGCCCACACGCCTGGCTGCAAGCCTTAGACGAGAAAATGATGACAGCTTCAAAGCTGAAGAACATGTGGGGCTTCAGGCATGAGGTTCTTGATTGAAACACTTAGGTCTTTGAAGAACTTGAGCGAGGCTAGTGGTGAGGATTCAAAACAGAAGCCAGCTAGGATGCCTCATTGATTTACGAACTGCTGCTGCTGCTGCTGCTGCTGCTGCTGCTGCTGCTGCTTCTGCTGGCTTGCCTGGCTCCACTGAGTGCTTGCGCTCCAAAACCTCAGCGGCTTCGCTAACAACCCTTGTGTGTTCTGTCATCCCAGAATCTACCGCTACAGTCACTGGTTGTATTGAGGCACGCCCACAATTTTATGGCCGAACACGCGGTTTTGAGAATTCAATGTTTATGTTGCAAACCCACCGCTGGGCTCTTCGGGGAGCTGAAAGGGAATAGGCCTCCCCTGGAATCTACTCAGGGGCACGGGCGCTGCCCGGCCAGAGAGCGGTGCGCCAGGGCGAACGCCTGTGGCCTCACAAGCACTGCATGCGGGCGGACCAGGATTGGCGAGCCCTATAATTTCTGAGTTCCGGTTATGCTTGGAGTAGGATCTGTCGAACTTATGAATGAACGGTCTTCTTCACTTGCTAACTCAAGCTCCCGGCAGTATTGCCCAGAACACAGGCATCCCAGAAAGATAGAACCCCACATGCCCTCGTTACTACCATTGGAAGTATACCTGTATCAAATGCTGCCATTGCTTTGATAAGAAAACGGAATATTTTTTGCGGAGGCGTTGAAACTTCTTCTGACTTGTCATAAGACTCATGGAGATATTCAGCTAATGCCTGGTGACAGAAAGAGGTGCCTTTGTCTTCTTCGCCACGCTGGACTTCCGGCCTAACAACGGAAAGAACTAGCAGCGCATGCCTCATAGCAGAATTGCAGAAATTCAAGTGGCAGCACAGAAGAAAAACGAAGACGAGCAAGAAGAGGATTAAGAAGCAAAGGAAGAAGCAGAACCGGCAGAAAGTAGAAGTGCACCAGGCAATGGCACGTGCAGTGGCAGCACCAACCACGAGGAAAAGTAGCAATTAGTCAGCAAGAAAAGCGGTTCGGGTAATTACAAGATGAGGGATCTTCACGCTTCACTGTACTCTTGGAAGCCACATTACAGGTGGCACTCTAATCCGCAGAAATCCTAGGTGCAAGTACATCTTTCGTACACTTCTGTCTTGCCCGAACAGATTTGACGGATTGTCCGCCTTCCACGTCAGCTTCTTCTGTGGCTCCGCCCTCCTCGTCCTCGCCTGGATGCTAAGGGAGGTCAAGGAGTGAGGATTTAGGAGTTGGGTTTTGGGCCTTTTGCAATTCTGGCAGATTCTTTCTTTCGGGATTCACGGGTTGAATGGGTCAGGCTGTTGGCATCCGGTTTGGGTATTGCAAACCTATTTCACTCCAAAGGCTGAACCTGATGTCCACCTTTTTATGCGTTCATGTCTTAATCACTTGTGAAAGGCTGCCTGCCGCGACCTCGAAACAAGTCTGTCCAACGACTGGACCCAGCCGATTGTCTGCAAGGCATCCACCGAGCAAAGTTGCTGAAGCCGCCCTGAGCTGCAAGCCTTCTTCCTCTTCGATCTCGGCATAGACCTCCTCCTCTGCCTCCTTTGTGAGAGCTGAAGAAACTTCAATTGCATGTTGGTGGGCGCTAGGGGCAGGCACCTTAGCTAGCTAAATGCCAAGCCAGGGAAGCCCACCTCCTCCTCTTGGAAGTCCTCATTCTCCTCTGCGGCGGCGCTAGGCTCCTGCAATGGGTGCTGTAGGCTCGAATTGGTGGAGCTCTATACTCATTTATGCAAGCCCTATGCTCTTGACGCTCGCACACTGAATACAGTTCTGAAAGCAAATGCATGTATCCATAGACACTGAGGTGTGGTTCCAAGCTTCCCACTCAAGCTCCGAACCATACAAGCCCTCTATGATGGCACATGCGCAAGTTTGCTCCTCGGGCTTCTCACCCCGGAGGTGGCTTGCAAAAGCCTGCACGTCATCTCTCAAGTAGTCCCAAGAGTTCAAGGGTTCGCAGAGCTCTGCGAGGTTGCGCGGTGTTCGTCTTCATCAGGCAAACGCAAGTTTCTTGTGACTCAGAGTTGCGAAGCCCATCCTGGATGTCGCTGTCGGTGAACTCGAATCGCTTCTCCGGGAACTCTGGCGGCGCACCTCATCAAGCGAACGTCTACAGGCGGGCGAGTAGTCACAGCCAACTGCTGAATCCGCAAAAGCGCAACAAGAATTATGATAATTTCCTGAAGTTCTGCCTTGTGGATTGTCCACGATGCCAGCGACCCAGTCTGTCTTCGTGCCTTCCACGTGGCTGCTTTCAGTCATTGAGAGCGCGAGAAATCTTCCAGACATGGTTCAAGATCACAGACGAGGGGAAGGATTCAGGAAGGCCTGGGCCTGACAGAACTTCTACCTCTAAGAGCAGCTGAATTGTAAGGCTCTGTCTGTCAGCAAAAAGCCAGACGGTGCATCAAAACCTCGGGTCCATCATCTCCCTTCTGATCTGAACAATACGCACCTAGCTGCTCATCGATTTCCGCAAGCGCCATCAGGTCCCTCTCAACCTGGCACCATCAGAGAGTCACAAAGTTCTTGCACTCTGGGACTTCAGGGCTTGGGAACTCAAGTGCTGCGGCTGCACATAGATGCTGACACAAGGCCTCAAAGTACTCTCACGCTGACACACCGACATCAGTGTCCATCAATTCTGTCTGACGACCTCAGCACGGACCTGCTGCCGAAAATCGCGTAGGGCTAGCACCTGCAGTGCTCCCAAACTATGCTTTCAAAACATTGCAGAATTCCTTTCAGATGCGTTCGTAAACATGTCTTCTCGAGAAATCTCCTCCTTGCCGTTCCGTGACTGCCAACTTGATCCCGCCACATATCAAGGTCGGCACGCAGCCGACAACGGCATGTTCAAGACCAGCTTTGATAACTGCATGTAGTGCAAACACTGCAACCCAAGCACTCGCTGGTTGAACTCGGTCTTAATGGCATGGATAGACTCCTGAAAGAACAAACTCCGCTCACCAGGTGTTGGTACTAGCATGGGATCTTATTTACGTCCAGCATGCGGGTATAAGCTCACGATTTCACAACAATCCTGTGAAGGCTGCTAGCAGCATTGTGCGTGAACTGAAGTGAGCATGTATGGACATTGGAATCATAGCCAAATTTGCTCCAATTTCACTGTGGTTGCATGCCCCGTTTGTTGCAGGATCAGTGGTGCAAACTTGTGATGCGCAAGGAAGAGGGGTTACAAAAAACAAATAGGCATCAAAAAACGATCGGGGTCCGAATAAAAATACTGGATTTTGTAGCAAACTCAAGAGTTGAAGATCCTCGAACAATAGAGATCAAAAAACGAAATACTTGATCTTGTAGTAAACTCAACAAAGAACTGGACTTTGTGGTAAACTCAGTAGTTGCAGCACCCCGAGCCAGAGGAAGAAAGCAAGAAACAAAGAAAGACAGAAAGAGAGAAAGAAAGAAAGAAAAGAAACAATGAAAAGAAAGATAGAAATAATGACAGGAAGAACCAAGGACAGAGTAAAGAAAGAAGGAAAGACACATGATGCTTCATCAATTTCCTTTTATTTGTTCATCATGTTCATCGTGTTTTCACATTGTGTCATGTTGGCATAATTGTTCATCATGTTTCATCATTCCCATCATTTTGGATCATGCCCAGCCCCTTCTCATCATTAATCACGTCACATTGCCAGACCAAAAACGGTACAAGAGGGCACCTGTTCTAATCTTTGTCAAGGTTTTGCAATTGAGGGGTGGCCGGGGGGGNNGGGGGGGGGGGGGGGGGGCTGCGCCCCCCCCAACCCTTCGCTGTTAGTTTACAAAACTCATTCACGAAAGCATCTGTCACCATGTCCCCTTTTCTTCACCATGATTTTACATACATGTCCTATTTGTTTCTTCGTCATGTTCATTATTGTGTCACATGTTTTGTTCTTTTTGTCATGTTTTTCATCATGTGTCATGATTGTTCATCATACTTCATCATTTTTCATTGTTTCTCATGATGTTTTCATGATGTTATCATGGCTTTTATGATGTTCTTCATTCTTCATCATTTTCTCATGTTTGATTACTTTTTCATTGTTTTCGCTATGTTCATCAGTTTCATGATTTTGCGTCCTCTCTCACGATGTTCCATTGCTTTTCATGATTGTTCATGACTGTTCATAATTTGAATGATGCTTCATCCTTTGCATAATGTGCCGCCACATGTTTTTCATATGTTCGTGGGCATCATGTTGTACCAGGATTCGTCATGTCCATCATTTTTCAATAGTTTTATGATTGTTCGTCATGTTCACCATTTTCGTCATCATTCATGATTGTTCATTACCATTTTCCATCATTATCACTAGTATTCATTTCGTTGTTTTCATATATTTCATGAGTTTTCATGATTCTCCATCACGTTTCATAGTGTCATCATTTTGAATTACTGTTGCATTTTTTCATGAGTTTCACGTGTTTCATAATTTTTCATATATGTTCATCACTTGTCCGATGTTATTTCATCATCTTTCTGTCATCATGTTTCATTACTTTCAATATCTTGCAAGATTGTTTATCATGTTGCAGAATTTCTCATAAGTTCATACTTTTGTATGATTTTCAAGCATTTGTTATCATGTTTCGTCATTCTTTTTCATTTCATAATTTCTCATCATTTTCAATATTCTTATGTCTGCTCGTCATTTTTCATCATTTTCATCATGGCTCATCATGTATCATCTGTTTCACATTTGTTGTTCATTGTTTTGCATAATTTTCATTTTCATCATCTTCTTGATACTCAACCATTTTCACTATTACTCATTTTTTCATAGTTTTTAATGAGGTTTCATGATTTTGCATGAATCTTCATCGTTTTCACAAATTTTGAAGCACCTGTTTTTTTGTTGATCCCCGGATTCGGCTTCGTTCTACTAAATTACTACAGAGCCACTTTTCTTGAATGCCTATTTGTTTTTTGATGCTCACTGCTGCGGCTGCTGCTGCCGCCGCTGCCGCTGCCGCTGCTAGGTCAAAGTCTTATGGATTGCCCGGGTCCTTTGTTGGGCATTAAGCAAATCAGGATGCGAAGAATGCCTGGTATAGCTTTTGCAAAATAGACTAACTCCCTGCTATTCAGACTATTGTGTGGCTGTGTATTAAGGTGATGGGGGTGACAAGTGTTTTGAGCTATACGCAAGACCTTCAAGGACTCTAGCCTCAAAATGCATCGCCAAGCAGTCGTTGCAACTAAACTGAGATGACCTAGCTGAAACTTCAACAGAACGTTTTAACGTTGCAGCTTCGTTGCAAAAATCAAGGCCTTTGACGAGTTTGGAAAAGCTATGACCAACGTCGACGATCATACTAAAACTTCACCAGTACCTCATCATGACCCCCCAAGACGCAAGATATCCTACATGACCAAACTAAATTTTCAAAAGAACGCTACAGTAATGACCACTCAACACTAAGAAATCCAAGAAGGCCAAACTGAAACTTTAACAGAACGTTGTTCTGATCTCACAAACAACAAGACATCTCAAAACCTGCGCGAAGCATACTGGCGAACTGCGTAATCACCATGTACTTCTACCTATGATGACTATTGCTGCTACGTTTACTACTGCGGACGAGTATGACTATGACAAGAACAACGACGACTGCTATCACTAGAACTAGAAGTGCAGTAGCACTTTGGTAGTAGTACGCTTACTACTGCTCTTCATCATTTGTGTCCAAGCTCGCATAATTGCGTATTAAGCTTACCGGGAGGATGAAGTTGCACAAACAAGGGTTTGGTCAAATTGCCATCTCAGGTTCAGACTAAACCTTTCTCTCAGCTGTTTGTGATAGAGTCTCCAGTGTAAGCAGGTGGGCCTTCTTGCAATGCTACTATACCATCCAATCAGATGCCTGTGTTTTGAATGTCCAAGACGATTTGCTTTTTGTCTTGATCCCGCCCGCAAAAACATAATCAGGAGCACGGTCCATCTCATCCATACTGAGCAGTAGACGCCGCAGCACCAGAAACAGAACGAGAACAATGCAAAGCTATGAAAGGGAGCAGGAGAATCACATAGATTAGTGACAATGCGAGCTGGCGGAATGAAATGTAATCGCTCCTCAAGCAGGAACATCTGCCGCCGCTTCTTCTCGGCATTCATTCGCTGATTCTCTGGCACCTTGCAGGCATGGGCCCTCCAAGGCGGTGTTCTGTGCGATTCAGAAAGCCTTGCAATGTATTTCAAGGTAGGAAGCCGGGTCCAAACCAGATTCTATGATTGTTGCCCTTTTAAAGACAGAGGTACTTCTCTTTCTGCTTGAATTGCTAGCCTGGTAGTCCTCACTGGTCTTCAGCATGTAATTTCCCAGTGTCGCCTGCCATGTACAAGCCACGAGCAATATGCTGGCTGAGGAACAGAAGACACACTGAGCTCCAGTCGTGGCATGCGCCGCAGAATGCAAAAATCAGGAACCCAGATTTCGGGAAGCTTTGGAGTGTCCATGAATTTCCAGAGATTGTCTTCCCAATGAAACAACATCTGTAACTCGTCAGGTCTCTAGACTTTGCTCACGAAGGGCAGGCAACCGAAATCTTGCCTCCGCATTGGCGATAGCCTCAACATCTTCAGGAGCCTGCTCAGGGAGTCAATCAATACTATGAAGTCCTCATCTTAAGAAACCCAACGCTCAACAAGCCAACTGAGACAATGCAGCATAGCCCCTGTCCTCGTATTGCTCGTTTGGCTTCGCGCGCTCAAGCTCCTGCAAGCTTTTCTTTTCCAGCGGCTAGATTCTGTCCGAGCCTGTAGCGAGAAGATGTTCCACAGGCCAACACATCTCAGCATACGGCACTCAGAGCAGCTTCTGTCCTGGATCTGTGCTTTGCGCTGCAGCCTCCAGCGCTCACAAGCTCGTAGTAGTTGTTTGGAGGCAAGGTGATGACAGCTCCTGCCTCTGCTGGCGGCGTAGCTCGCGCTGCTCTGCGCCTGGAAAAGAAACCGAATGCCAGCGCACCTGGCCCTGACTAAATACAGCGCTCTGTGTAGAAAGCATATGCGCGATCTCAGCCCCTTGAACTGTCATGTTTAATATACCGCTACATCCGTTCTTGGTGAAGGCCCGGGGATGTGCTGACTTGTCCGGAAGCAACGTTGGACTTTCACATACTGTATCTGTATCTGCCATGGGCTTCCTGGTTCAAATCTGTCAATGAAAGATCCTGGCTGACATCGTTACGGCAAACTGAGGTTCGGTAGCATCCTGTGATCAAGGAGTTCAAATGTTTCTCTGCAACAAAGTCCTGCGTTCATGAAGAAAGCATGATACAGTTCTGCTGGCTTGCATTTGATCCCCCAACCCACTGCAAAGCCGAGCAGAATCAAATCCTACCCCTACCAACCCAAAAGGGAAGATATTCTTGCAGACTTCTCCATGCCGTAGCCCAACATCCCAGCTGCCTGATAAGGTGCGTTCAGCGTTCTGTGTACCTGCAACAAGGGGACAATGACTTCCGATCCAGCAACTGGCCAGCTGGCAAGCCTGACGCATCTGTGACGTCGAAGCCGAACTCAGTCTTGGCACCTGAGCTCACGAGGAGCTGCTAAGATCTAGTCCCTGATCGGGCCGAAACATGAGGCGGATGCAGATACCATCTGCAAAGCAGCCCTCTTGAATGAAGTCTCTAGTCCAGGGTGCCCTGCCTTCAAAACCACCGCCGTCGTTCTCGTCATCTTCCTCCTGACTCGCGACACACGGCTGCAGTGCCACATGGAACTTTCCTAACACTGGGAGCTAGACCCAGTTCATGTTTGCTTGACGTTTTAATTTCCTCTTATCGTTGTTTCGAAGCTTTGGGCCTTGTCGTTTTCTTGTTTTTCACATTTTTCCTCTTATCGTTTTCCGGACTACACGCAGTGTTTTTTGCACTTTGAAGCACCAGGACATAATTATTGTACAACCACATGTCTCATCGCCACGCAATGGCCCACAGGACTACAGATTTGAGCTTGCGCATCATCAACAGGAGCGAGACCGGGGAGGCTTGGTCGCTACAATACGCATCCTCAAATGTGGAGTTTTCTCACACTTCGGCCGTGCCTGCACTAATCCATGAGCGGAAGGCCGATGCCTCAGAAATTATCATTGGGGTAACCGACTCTATTGATCAAACCATGACCATTAACGTTCCACCAAGCATCTTTAGGCAAATGCTTTGCCGTGATCTGAACACACAGGATTTGGCGAATAAGCATCGAAAGGATTTTACCCGCCTTGTCTTACATTCAGCCTGCACATCTGTTTTTGCACCAAGATTCTCGCGGTGATGGCCCATTTGCTTAGAGTTTGCAACGCTGGGTGTACAGTTATGGACACACCCGTGAAATGGCTCGGTGCTACAGCCGCCATGTTTTACAGTCAGTGCGCATCTGCTGCCCCAGGAAATCTGTCGCGTTTTTCCCACGCCAAAAAAGATTTTGGCTTGGATGGTAGGTTGTTTGGTCACATGAGAAGCAGGAGTACCCACAGTCTAAGGGAGCTTTTTCCCATCCTGCCACTTTCCCACGCAATTCCTGTCAGCGTTGCTGAGGTTCAGGGTGGCGGCCACAGACGTCCAAAACCTTGGCAAGGTAGAAGCTTTGCTGACTCCAAAGTCGGCAAGAACACGTCATGGAAATGGCACCATGATGGTGCGTCCGTCTGCTCGATGGACAGCACGCATGAACCGCAATCGCACGATTTGCCGTACGAAAAACGGCGGTTCGAAGGGATGGTCTGCAGAATGGCAAGGGTACTTCTGAGCGTTGTAATATTCTACATAGTCCCTGTCAGGTTCAGTTGGCTCCGGGTGCCTCGCCCGGCTGCAACAGCGCGAGAACTCTCTTTACGTTCCCGTTACGTTCCGGT